TAGATCATACAGTGTCAGACTGTGTGATCATAGTGCCCTGCATTGTTAATGACCCGTATTGCTCTTTTTTGTAATCTAACTAATGAATTTATTGTTGTTTTTAGGTCGATCAGCCCACAGTTTTTAAACGGAGGGTATGCTACTCCAAAACTGTGCACAAAGTTGTTTTTTTTTTTTCATTTTTGTAACTTCTTTAACAAAAAGATTAAGCACAGGTGTATTTCGATTGTTGGGGTTAAACCATGGAATGATCCTGATATATGTGCAACTGATATTTTTTATTTTAAAAAGATACATATTTGTCTACAAATCTTTCAAGGTGATGTCATATGTTTTGTTGTTAATGGTAAGCACATACAGCAGGCATATATATATATGAGTACTGCTTCGGCATCAGCTTGTTCAGTAACTATTTATTATACAGGCAGTGAATTTCTATGAATAGTTTTACACGGTCTGTCTGGCTGAAAGAGCATTTCCATGTATACATGTGGCTGTTCAGGAAAGTCCCTGAACCATCATTGCAGAAGACAAAAATAATCTTGTTTTGACTAAAGTGGTGCTGAATCACATGATAATGCATAAAAATAAAACAATAACTGTTTAAAATTTAACTTCGTTATTTGGGATTTCCAACCTACGAAAGCCACTGAACATAATTCAGAACCACTCATAAAATATTTTTTTCTTATTATATTCTTGTATTTCTTATTATTTTTTAATAAAATGATATTTGTGCTGTGGTGATGCCAGCAGGGAAACTTAAAATTATTTCTAAAGTCTAACAAACTGATTAAATAAAACAATAAAACATTATTAAAATTGAAAGCCTTTATTGTCATTATACATGGTATAACAAAATTGGAAACAGCTCTATAAAAGTGCACACGTGCTTATAGCACATTATAAAAACTATACAATAATAATTTAACTATACACTTACTATAAATATAAATACACAGTACAGTGCTGACACAGAGACAGACAGGCAGATAATATTTCAGTGCAGAAAACATTTGTGAAAGTTTGAGTTGAGTATGGTGATGGCTTTGGGGAAGAAGCTATCCCTGAGTCTGTTTGTTCTGGCCCTTACGGATCTATAGAGCCTACCACAGGGCAGTAGGTTGAAAAGATGGTAGCCGGGGTGGTGTCCTTTAAGTGTCCTTTAAAATTTGTTCTGGCCCTACTAAGACAACGGGAGTTGTAGACAGCAGACAAGGAGGGCAGGGGGCAGCTGATGAGTTTTTGTGCTGTGTTTACCACCCTCTGCAGTTTCTTCCTGTCTGCCTCCGTGCAGCTGGCGTGCCACACTGTCACTGCATAGGTCAGCAGGCTCTCGATGGTGGATCTGTAGAAGGTCACCAGCAGCGGGGTGTTTAGTTGCTCCTTCCTGAGCACCCTTAGGAAGTGTAGCCGCTGCTTTCTTGACTAGGGCCGTGGTGTTAGCTGCCCAGGAGAGGTCTGCAGAGATATAGATACCAAGGAATTTGAAGGACTCCACTCGCTCTACACATTCTCCGTTGATGTGCAGGGGCAGTTCTGTTTGATGCACACCATTCCCCCTCAGGACCTCATCTCTGTAAGCCGCCTCGTTTCCTCCTGTGATCAGCCCCATCACTGTTGTGTCATCAGCAAATTTGACAATGATGTTCTCTGGGTGGGCGGGACTGCAGTCATATGTGTAGAGGGAGTAGAGTAGTGGGCTTAGCACACAGC